CGTTCAGCATACTTTTTTCCTTCACAGGTTTCAGAAGTGAGCAAGAAAGATTTCGATCAACTCTCGATCTCCGCGTAGTTTACTTGTAGCTCGAGTCTGGTGTGTGTGGGCTCCTCTCCAAAACGAAGGGTGGTCGAAAATCTTGCAGGCTTCAGATAGAATCTCTTTTGAGAGGACGTTCTGGCTAGTAGGTTGTGCTATTCATCATATTTGAAGAACAAACTTCGTCGTTCAGAAAAGCTATTTCGGAATATTTTCAGTCATGTAATTTTTGCATGCCGATCTTGCTAGAGCAGAGACTGACTTCAACTGATCCAGCATGCAAGCAGCACTCGATTCGTGTTTTTGGAGAGGATGGGTGACAAGATTACGGAGTCAGCAGTGGACATCGTCGACGATGCAGAGACGAAATATAATGAAGATGGAAATGAAAATTATGTTCATTTCCAAGAAGGTACTGAGTACATCAAGCACCTTCGTGTGTGTAGCTCTGTCTTTCTTGTGGAAGACTCCACAGAAAAACAATGTCCAGCTTGTTGAAACTGAAACTGCCTTTCAGTTGAAGTCGTTCAGGAAAACATCTATTCAAGACATCGTTGATCCATTCTCAAGGACCATCGTAAGAAATTAAATCAAGTCATGTTTATCGATAAGAATGGCGAACTAGACCAGAGAAGTGTGAGTGTCTTGTTTTGACTGCAGGAAACTGTATTTCAATATTGTGGCTCAATGTAGTGCTTACGCAGTTTACTGCTTCGAACACATCTTCATTTCTACTCCCAAAATAACTCTGTAAAATTTATTGATGCAACATTATGCATCATGGTCTTTCTCGTTGTGCTGCTATAACGTGTATAAGTACATGCATACGAGTACTGTGTACCGTTTACTGTCTCCTTGTCAGTGTTTTTGGGCGATCCTCCACACCTTCATTTGTCTTCCAATTATTAATTTTATAGAAAATTCACTCACTTCAACTTCTTTTGATTGCTGGTGCGAATGTAGCCTGCGATGCCTGCTTGTTAGTGAGAGTGCACCAGACATGTATCGATATGTATGTCTGACGAGATGTTCTTGAACTGGCATGCTGCTTTGCTTAGATAAGGTTTAGAATTGGGTGCTCAATGGCCTGGAGGAATTAATCATGTTTGCGATCAGTATCACCAAGAGTACGGTTCTTCCGTCTACGCATCTCTTCTTGGCTTGTGGATTGGTTGAAAAGAGATAAAATAATAATACAGAAGTACTTGTGTCCAAGTGTCGTCGTGAAAACAAGTTCTACCTCCGTAACTTTGTCCGCAAGGTCACGTGAATCTAGCTGGTAGTCCCGCTGCCTATTTGTGTGTGTGTGTGTGTGTGAGTAAGTGTGCGCACGCATGTGTGAGTGTGTGTGTATGTGTGTGTGTGCATGCGTGAGAAAGAGAGAGTGTGTGTGTGTGTGTGTGTGTGTGTGTGTGTGTGTGTGTGAGAGAGAGAGAGAGAGGGAGAGAGAGAGAGAGAAAATGTGTGTGTGTGTGAGATTTAGAGAATGTGTGTGTGTTTGTGTGTGCGTGCGTGGATGTGTGTGTGTGTGTGGATGTGTGTGTGTGTGTGTGTGTGTGTGTGTGTGTGTGTGTGTGTGTGGATGTGTGTGTGTGTCTCAAACTCTCTCTTCTACTCCCCCCTGTCTCGGGGGCGGCGTGGCCAAGCATTTGGCAGCTGTACACCAGGCCATGTGTGTGTGTGTGTGTGTGTGTGTGTGTGTGTGTGTGTGTGTGTGTGGATGTGTGTGTGTGTCTCAAACTCTCTCTCTCTTCTACTCTCCCCCTGTCTCGGGGGCGGCGTGGCTAAGCATTTGGCAGCTGTACACCAGGCCAGGTGTGTGTGTGTGTGTGTGTGTGTGTGATGTAGAGAATGAATGACATATGTGCGTGTGTGTGAGAGAGAGAGATTTAGAGAATGAGTGTGTGTGTGTGTGTGTGTGTGTGTGTGTGTGCGCGTGTGCGCGTGTGAGTGCATGTGAGAAAAGGGAGAGAGTGTGGGTGTATGTGTGTGTAATGGTGTGGGCATGTGTGGTCCCCAGCTCTATTCTATGTCATTCACGCTGGAACTGCTGCTGCATAGCCCCAAGTCTGAAGACTTGGCAACTTCACGCCTGCACCTGACTCTTGCACTATGATACCCGTCGCCTATGATACCCCTCAGAATTTCCCACCTTGCTCCCTCTTATGTTCAGGCTGCCCGTTTAGGAGCCATCAGTTACCTGACGATCGTAGTAATACGTGAAACTCAGAGTTGTGACAAAGCCTCCAATCTCTCATGTAATACAGAAATACCAATATTCTGCCTGTGACTACTCACAGAGAAAGTGTGGTCACAACTGCACATTCCGCATGTAACTGTTCGCATGGAATTATAGTGGTCACAACTGCATTCTGTGACCGCTCATAGGGAATTATAGTTTCCACAACAAATCCTGCAGTACGAAGCACCCTGCGAGCAGTCACGAACTGTGTACTTTACACATGTACATGTATGGTGATTTGTGACTGGTCATGGGGCATTGTGACTGGTAAACTAATTTGTGACTGGTCATGGGGGGTTTGTGACTGTTTGACTGGTCACGGGGACCGTGATTGGTCACGGGGCCTTGACTGGTCACTGAGTCCTACATATAGACTACTGGTCTTCAAGGCATACAATAGTAGCGACCCAACGAAGAGGAATTTGCGGAATACAACGTTCGAGACGGCTCAACAAATCAAGAGTAAAGTGCGAATTTACTATGTACGCAAATGAGAAAACTTACTTGTTTCCCTGCAGCGCTAATCACGTGCGCCTTCAGTGAATACGTGCCATTTGCAGCAATTCATGCTCTTTCAACTGACGTAGCACTCAATACGAATTTACAAATTCGATTTTCAGCGAATTTATCCGTAGTCTGCCACCGAGCCACAGAGTCAGTCGTAACTCGTACATTTTGTCCTGCTCCTTTTTTTTCTCCCATAAACAAAAGAAATTTTGTTTTGTGTCGGGCCAGAAATTTTCTGAACCCCCTCATACAGAGTGAGTCACTTGAACTCCTAGAAAGGCCCAAAAGTGCAAAATTCTCATGACGTATTTGATCACGGTAGTAGCCCTGAGAACGATGGCCGGCCACTGTGAAAAATACGTCATCGAAGTATAAGTGGTGAAAGCTTTGAAAGCCGTAGAGGGATAGGAAAGAGCCACGTTGTGAATTTGGTTGTCCTCAAATGGTCCTCAATCGTACGCGACGGTGAAGAAGACGGAGGATCGGCAAACACTCGTGATTGTACAGAAAGGAAAGGCTAACTAGGATTCGTACGTAAGTATTTTTTTTTTTTTTTTTCTACAAAATCCACATATCTCCAGACACTGGGGTGAATGATGGAGTGTGGTGGTGGGGCCCATTAAGCTCCGCCGACCAGAGGTCTCGGCTTCATAGCTCCATGGACGCACCAAAGGGATATTGGGTAGGGAGGATTAAATTGAAAAAGAAAACAGAAGAAAGAAAATGGAAAGATTGTATTGCTCAGTGAGCAAAAGAATAAGTTGAGTATTGATGTGAACGCTGTTAGACTTTTAAATTCAAGAGGAGACTGTCCGTGAGGAGAGATTACATGTATGTCCAAGCAGGGTAGGACACTGTACCCTCTTACTCGCGTATGCTATGAGTGGCCCAGTGCCAGTTCGTTCTGAGGAGATGGTGATAAGCTGCTGTCTTGAACTTTTGGATGTTCTTTGGGTGAAATGGGTGGGGAATGATAGAGGTAGGCAGCTGGTTCCAAATTGGGATGACGGAGAAGTATACCGCTGGATCAACGGTTGTCACTGAACCGAGTTGTGGTCCCAATACAATTGAACTCATTCATGATTGTGAGTACCAATGAGTCCCGCTGTGAGTCTATCGGAAACTATCAAGTCGACACTGCTTACAAAAGTGCGACACGCAGTGAACGTGGTCCCAGCGGGTCAGCGGGTAGATCTACAGTGCAGTGCACGTAGATTCTACGTGCTCAGATAAAGACTACATGCACAATTATGTACTTCGAAGTACAGTATTGTATAAGTAGGTGCCAGCCACACGCAAACTCCTTGTACAGTATCTTGGTGAGGTTACATGTAGAAGTTACACACGCACAGTCCACGCAGCTGTCTCTTCATGTTTTGTACTTTCATCAATATTAGTAGCTTCTCCGCGTAGGCATCAATGCACCGTGACTACAAGCAGCACGTAAATGAAGCGTTCCCATAAGCAACGTGGAATGAAGAATCAGTAACGAGTGGAATCATACACGTATACCCACGTACATGCACATTGACATTGTACTCAATCCACGCTATAAAGTATAATTACATGTAGAACAGCTTAAGTGGCGTCGTCTGATCCTGATGTCAAGGGCGATAACCATTTCAGTAGATGAAAGGAAGTGGCTGTTTGACTGCGTGGACATGCATCGTTGCATGCAAAGTTTTACATTGCGAAATTAGTTCGATCGCTTCCAAACTATCATTTGAAAGAAGGAAGTCAATTGACAACTACTTGTATTTCAATGGATAAGGAGAACTTCAGAATACAAAAGATCAGGCTGGGAAGTAAACTGCCTGAGAAGAGAAAAAAGTGCCAACCCCACCAAGACTCGAACCCAGGATCTTGCTTGTCATCAGTAATGCTCTAGCCATGCGAGCCATGGAACCAGGCTAAACCTAGAAGGCGCTGACAGGGTTTTCACTTCCTACTGAGACCAATCGAATAGCTAGCGTAGGACCTTGCTTACGTCACACAGGTTCCACACTTACAAGTTCAAGAGATGTGTGCACTTATGTCACTAGTACTTATCACTTATTACTGGCTGCCCGTTTTGGATCCATCAGCTGCCTGATGATCGTAGTAATACGTGAAAGTCAGAGTTGTGACAAAGCTTCCAATCTCTCTTGTGCAAAAGTCAGAGATATGAAGCTTACACTTAGTTACAGGCGACCAGTTGCGTTTTGCACATCAGACGGCGAGAAGAGATTTTTACTCCTGGGGAATTTTGTGATTGTCCCATACCATCAGTTCTAATTTTCTTTTCCTCTGAGAAAGGTAAGGAGGGATATTTCAACAATCTAGGATAAAGGTCCTCAGGGTTTACTGATAACGAACTGTGATTGTTCATCACACTTTCTGACTATATGCAGAGAATCTGGAATGAGGATAGCCCAGACAAACCGATCGATGTGACACTCTAGAGCATCTGACGTGTGTGTCTGTGTGCGCGAGCGTGTGCGTGTCGGTGTCTGTATTTGTTTTCCAATGCGTGTTGGTTGGTTGTGCCTTTCTCCAGGATAGAGATCGAAACACATACATACACACACCAACAATGGATTCCAATCAGCAATCTGACCATTCCAATGACGAAGCATCAGCGGTAGCCCTTCCACAACATATCACCGCCACCAGTGAGCGTGATTGTCCTTTGCCAGGGACTGTTCCTGATGGCCTTGCTGTTCGTGATGATGAGGTCATGCAAGAAGAACTGTTGCTAGACGAAGGAGCCGCGGTTTTTTTTAATGAATCTGAAGATCAACAGTCAAGGGTGTTAGAATCAGTCGAGTCAGGACTTGGCAATGTTTTATTTGACGTGTGGTGCTTAACTCTGTTACCTTTGCTGTCAATTCCGGACATCTTTCAGCTGTGTGGGGTTAGTAGACGCTTGAGGGAGCTGCTACACAATGAGTACACATTCAAGGGTCTATGTCAGGTGAGTGGCAACGTGCGATTTAAATGATTTGTGAATTTTGGTTTCAGTTATTCTGCTTTCAAGTTGCATTTGAAATTGAATACTGTAATACATGCGCATGCCTGCCAAGTGCAGAAAGTGCGTTTCCTAAATAGTTGGCGTGGTTATATCCTTTAAGGTGGCAGACTACCCAAAAATTCCCTGAAAAATCGAATTTGTAAATTCATATTGAGTGCTATGTCAGTTGAAAGAGCATGAATAGCTGTCCAAAAAATCAGGTTTTTGAGCCACGTATTAGGCTGCACGGCGAAGCCCGCCGCCGTGCAGCAGGACTTTTGCCAGCACCCTCGTGACGTTGCAGATAAGTGGCTTGATTATTGTAGTTGACGTTGATACAGTGACTTTGGCAAGTTTGAGTCGTGTCAAGAAGTCAGGTAGGATTCAGTACTAGGCAGTAGTGAAACGTGAGTGGTAGTCTTTGCCGGTTTCTGAGGGTATCCTGGATTTGGTGGGCAGCGCTGTGGAAATGGCTTGCTGTGGACATCCCAGCACTGGATGTTGTATCAAAGGTACGACCTCGTAGCACGTGCTAAACCTAAAAAAAATCAAAAATTGACTTGGGTCTGTGGGAGTGTGTGAGAGAACGCCCACTCGTTCCGTTGTGACAGATTCCAGGGCCTCGTTGAGGGGCCCTACCCCATCACCCATGGCTGCTTCTGGACTTGTTCTAGGTTTGAGTCCCGCGCACGAACAGAATGAGCACGAAAATGTGAAAAAATTGTAAATGCATTTGTTTGGCTCCTGGGTGGCTCGCACACCGTGGCACTATGCCGGAAATTTCAGTTTTTCCGGCCTGGAAAGCCTGTCAGTGAGGCGCAAGAACTTGTAAATCATGTCCTGAGGGCCAGCATAGTGGCAGGAGTGTGTGGTCAACATTTCACTCAAATCCATTGAGAAACACCAAAGTTACAGTCAATTGAATGCCATACGAAATTTATGGGTAGGCTGTCCCCTTAAAGACAAAAATTTCAATCAAAGTAGCTACATGTTTGTGTCCAGTATGAGTTTCTTGCCACATTCATCAGTAGTATAGACGTAACCTTAAGGCATAACAGAGAATAACCTAAGGATATATACATTCGGTACAGAGATGATGAAAGTGCCAAAAACAACGTCAAATATTAACCCTTTCAGTGCTAATGACGAGATATCTAGCTCTGTAAAGTGTACCTGAACGGCGGATGAGGAGATATCTCGCTCCACTGCCAACGCAATAGTACCAAGTGCATATATCACTGTACAAACTGTCGTTTCTTTTGTCAACGGCGGCCGATTTTCACACACGATATGTATACCCTTGGAAAGGTATTGAGCTCAGCTTTCCAGTGATATAATGTTCTTTGCGATAGGACTAGATTTGAGTGAGCGGTGACGGCTAGAATTGCAAAAAGTCAAAAACACGCTTTCTGGCCATCTGTTCAAACATTTTGCTCGCGACTTGCTTTTTTTTAGGGGATTTCCCTTTGCTAAAGCGCATGCGTGGTGGACATCAAACAAAGCGCTTAGATTTCAGCTTGGCAGCGCAGTTTGAATTGTATTGTATTGTATTGTATTGTATTTATTTAAAAGGATTCTCCAAAAGCAAATGGATGCTTATCACGGAAGTCTCCCACATAAATATCGCAAGAAAAATGGGGAAATGGGGGAGAGGAGAGTGGAAGATGAAGCATGGGATGAAGGGAAACAAGTACCTAAATATCGAGGTATAAAAGCAGGAAAGAAATCGACGAGGGAAGAAATCACCTCTGCAGATAATAGCGGGACATTTAGATGAAAAAAACCCAGCAAGGATTAATTTTAAGGAAAAAAAATTCTCAAACGGAAAAGTTCGGAATTCCAGTCAGAGAATATCTATGCTGTGAGTAATGAGCCTTTAGAGCAATGCGAAAATTGACAGAGGACTGAACGCAGCGGATGTGTTCTGGAAGTTTGTTCCATTCCACAGATAAACTGAAGAGAGGGGATTTAAGGAAATGGGCGCCAGAACGAGGTAAAACTATAGAGGACGGGTGACGACAACTAAGGGATACATTGAATTTGAAACGAATTAGCAAAGACGGAAACTGGTAAAAGACATGATGAAAATACAGCAAGGACAGAATCTGACGACGCCACTTCAGGGATGACCAGTCACAAGTACGATTAAGAATCTGCTTCGGGGTTTCCCACTCAGGAGGGTGCCGGGTCTTACAAAGCAGATATGAACGAGCAGCAACGGCTTGCAGTCGGTCTAACGTAAGCGAATCTGAATGGGATACGGCGAATGACCAGACAGGGACTGCGTATTCTAACAGTGGTCGTACGTAACACTTGTAGAGCAAATTCACGGTTGAAGCAGAAAGGAAATGGGCCATATGGCGCAACAGAAAAACACGACTGCGAAACTTATGGGTGATAGATTTTATATGGTCAGAAAAATTTAGTGAAGGAGTGATAGTCACGCCGAGATGACAGTGGCTATCACCTTTCTGAATAGGCACACCGTTCATTGTCAAGGGGGATGACGGGCCGGGGGCTAATGCATATTTTTGAAAGGGTAGGTGGACGCATTTACTGGTGTTAAACGTCATGGCAGTAGCTGATGACCATTGACAACACTTATCAATGTCAGTCTGGAGCAATGCATGATGGATAGGAAGTGAGGTGTTTGCTGGAGAAACAAGAATTAAATTAGAGTCATCAGCAAAAAGGGATAGGGTACTAGAAGCAGGGGCATCAGGAAAGGAGTTGATGCACAGGTTAAAAAGAAGCGGGCCGAGATGGGAACCTTGGGGTACGCCAGCTGTGATGGGCAATGTGAAGTTTGGTTAAGTTTGAGCGAGATGGCGAACAAAAATGTATTATGAAGTTGTTTAGCGATTCTGAGACATGCAAGGGCATCTTCTAGAGCACATAGAAGTGACCCTGGCATGCCTTAAGCCTAGTTCACATTCAACGTAACGCCGACGGTACGGGACGTAAGGGCTTGTCGGGAGGGCTGGGGTGAGCTGTAAAATCCTGTACGATTCGTACGACACGACATGCAGCAGTCGTTGCGACGTTCAACGTCGAACGGCGCGAGTCATAAGGCACGGTCCGTGACGGGGTGACTTTTGGACCTAAATTCTCGCTTTTCGGGACTTCTTATCAATTATTTTTCCTTGAAAGAAGCGGAATCAAGTTCACAATACCAGTTTTTCATGAAGACCAAAAAATTAGCCCTGAAAGTTGTGGCATTCAAATAATAGCCCCAGGAAATGATAGAATAGTTAGTCTGTCACGCTTCTGAACTATCCCTAAATACAATTGAATAAGTGACATGAGATCTTATGTTGCTAAAATTCAACTCAAATCGTGCTAGGCATTCTGTTAGTTATCATGGGAAGTGCAGTGTTGGAAATGCTAAAAATTTCCAAGTACGAATCGGGAGTAGTCGGCGCACGACGCCGTCTCCTGTTCACACTCGAATTGCAGCTGTTTTGTACGCTTGCGTCCCCGTCTTCGCCCGTCTACGGTATGAAAAGGTGGATCGATCCAACTCTTCCCGTCGTTTCCCTATCTGTACGGTAGTACGGTTGCGTTCCCGTTCCTCGTGTTCACATTGGACGCCGTCAGACCGTCCCGTCGCTTCCCGTCGATCCTTACGTCGCGTCTCGTCGCGCCCCGTCGAATGTGAACTAGGCTTTAGGAGCAGGGAACTACCAGGAAGTCCTCGCTTGGCTCAGGCCTTTCCAATGAGCCATAGATCATGGAAATCTATCAATGAAATCAAAAATTACGAAAGATTTTGCTCGGCAACGTTCATGCAGGGTTCAAAATGAAAGTAAGTGCGCTGAAAGCTTAGCCGCCAGGGGGAAACTAGGCCAGCAGTGAAAGGGTTAATTGAATATTTCATGAAAGATAACGCTAGTTGCTAGTATAGATAGATGGTGCCTTTTGTGCACAGCTAGCGAGGTGATTGTAAGCGAGAAAGTGTGATGGTGAGAATGAATAGTGAATGTCAATTACAGGAAAAAATGTGAGTGCAGTGACATTTTCCTTTTGCTTACAACCATCTGATAAGGGAGACGAATATGCACAGCTTGAAGGACTTTCCATTTCTTGAAAGTACTAGCACGTTACACAACACTAAACCATGAATCATTGTACTGCTCTTGACAAACAGGATCATGCAACAAATGGGTCTTCGTGGCAGACGGGTTGTTTTTCTCTTTGTCTTCCCGAACCTTACGTTATTTTGTCTTTTCAATTTCGAATCCGAAATCTTATGTCCAAAATGACGCTCCTCATAATCGGATCTCCGTTTTCAACGTGAAAGGCAGTAACTCACTTTGAAAAAATGCGTCCGTTAACAACAAACGAGTTAAGAGTAACTCTCCACCACTGTAACTAGATACTATATACAGTCAGAAAGTGCAACAACTAGGCACAAAACTGACAGAGTACTGAGACATTCGACGTCCTGACATTCGACGTCTATAGTTTCTAGTTACAGTGGTGGAGAGTTACTCTTAACTCGTTTCCATAATTATGTCATTTTCCTTTCTACTTTTATTATTGGCTCAATACCCGAGTTTAACAACAAACGTTTTGTGTTGTACAGGTTTGCTGGGACCTTTAGAGCTCCGAAGTTTTGTGTGTATGAACTATGATTACTTAGTCATGGCTTCAATGCAGAATTTTCCATTTTTGAGATTTCGGTAATGGCACAGGCCAACCTCAGAGGTACTGCAAATGCAGCACACGTCGAATATTTAAAATCAGAATATAAATTTTACATACGGTGAACATTGTACTTCATTACTCAAAATGTAAGTTGCGTATTTCAATGGTAACAATTTACCATCAAGATCAAAGGAGGAGTCAACGAACAGAGGTTAAACAACATGAAGCGAGCCTGGGACCGAATGGTGTTGATGAGGAGAATGACACGGAGGACGACACTGAGGACGATTTGGAAGATGAGACGGAGGACGAGGTTGCGGTTGATGGAGACGAGGAATCAGATGGTGATTGTGATCGTAAGGAGTCTGCCGTTTTCCTTCACTTGTTGTCTCACCTAATGTGTCTGCAGGTGTATGATGATTTTATTTTTTCTGTTCTTTGTCGGGCACGGTATGCTAGTCAGTTGAAAGTAGTTGAGGCTGTTTGTATTCGTTTACATAAGCCTGATCTTTGTACGCAGAAGAAAAATGTGGTTTCGTTAAAATTGTTTTCCTAGGTGCACAGCATGATTGTTTGTCTCACTACACAGTTTTAGCGTTATAATAATTATTGGTTTCTCACCCGCCGTTGCACTTAGCTCTCACTTCACTTCTATTGTCTCACCTTCCCTCATTCTATTTTGGCACTGTATTTTGTTCTCGTAACACATCATTGAATGTATATTTAATCATTGTTCAGCATGGTTACTCTTCAGTCACGACTTTCCACTGATGAACGTGACAAGAAAATGTATTCTGGTGAACTTTCATGACTTGGTTATGGTGTGGCGATGACTGCAGAATTTGTTCTCTTTATTGCTATTATGAAAAGAACATTCCCGGAATTTAACTATTTTCATAGGATGTGGAATGTCTAGGTTGCATATACACCTTTCATAAAACCACTATATTTACACTCGGATACTGAGCCAGTAATAAATGAAAAAAGGAGAAGAAACGCATGAGAACGAGATAAACAGTCAGAAAGTGCGATAACAGACCACAAAACTGACAGGCTACTGAGACCTATTATCGCACTTTCTGACTTTTTACCATTTTGTTTGAGTCGTGGTTAGTTGCTGCATAACTCGTTCTCATGTCTTTCTTCTCTTTTTCACTACATTTACATTGAAACAAAATTGATTCAAAAACACAAAGAGAATTGATAATTCCTCATACATGTAATTGACACACACTTTGTTAGTGCTACGTTGTTTGAAATGTGTGGTGGCCATTCGGGAATTGCATAATATATGTAATGTTTTACTGTCTTGTTGTTGCTCCACTGTCCCATGCATACAGCACCGGTATCAGCTCAGTCCGTATTTGGAGATGTCCTACATTCAAATTGCCAAAGTCATGTACATCGCCACCAGGGTAGCTAGCCTGCATCACAGCGGCACTGCGGAGTTCATGAACTGCGTGATTGGTAGCAATGATCATCGAGTTTTCGGACACAAAATGCGGTCGATTGTTCGATTATCAAGCCTAGCGCTGCCACTGCCTGAGAACGTCGTCAATACGTTTCCTAGCTGCACAAGCACTGGGCAGTTGATGTTACTCGCACAAGAGCAGTGCCTGTTGGTGGAAGAAGCTTGTACCTACCTTCCAAACATTTCACAGACGTTTATTGAAGAAACATGCAATGAGGAACCAGGTTGTATTTTTTACAGACTTGAAGACCTAGTGAAGTTATCGTTTGACAATTGCAGCTCCATTGAACAGTACCAAACAGCAATCATCAAGGATTTAGAGAAGGATAGTTCAGAGATGGTCCAATACTTGTCCTCCACGAACCGGTCTAGCAGGCTAGTGAGCATCGCGAAAGGGTTTTACAGCGTCGCAAGGCGAGATACGACAGTGGTCTCATTACTTAATAATGAGTATTTGATCGCACATCTCACACCGTGCTTAGCTAAGCCTTGGATCTATAACCCCTTCCATCATTTTATTATGAATTTTAGAAACAGTGACATTGCTTCTGCTGACGCATTTGCCTCCCTTAAGTGGATTGACGCGACTACACTGCTCGCAACAACACACTCTGTGATCAATCTGCTGATCACGAACAACCTGCAGACAAACGAAGTGGAGGATTACTTCACGGCTGTCCTTGAGTACAACACGCTGTGGATGAGTTTGCCACAATCCAGTCGCCCCAGGCGTGACGATCTATACCGTGGCTTGGGTACCTACATACGTGGGTCATCACTAGAGTCAGGTTTGCAGAGGAAATTGACCAAGGTCGATTTCCTAAATGCTATGAAAAAATATGGCGATGAACTTGTTGCCAATGCGGTCTCGCACGCCTAAGACTTTTAATAGTATTCCTCCTGCTGTAAAAGCACAACCCACTTCTGCACAGTATTTTCCTAGTCATTTCTGTTGGTTGAGAAGTGTCGATATTGATAAACTTTGATTCAGACTCTTTTGATCTCTTTTGATCTTCCTGATTTGCTCAATGCAGTTTTGTTATTACAGACTTACCGGTTACAAGGTTTGAGAGGCGACTAAGCACGTCTGCAAGCCGTGGAAGCATTACGTCATAGTTTCCTCTCCACCCGAATCCTCACCTATTCTCAAATGACGCTTCCACTGCATTTTGCATTTTTTAACTATTTTCAATTAAAATATTCGCTGCAGATATGGCTCATACTTCTGTTCACAAGAACTGTGTTACTACGTTTGTATGGGACACCTGATTCTATTGTGGTCTTTCAAGTTGACTTTAGTTTAGAGTGTCATATAGTAACTTCGATCGAATGATCTCAACCTTTGCCAAGCAGGACTATCCTCATTTGAGCTTCTCTATCTGTAAATTCATCAGAGAAAAGGCTGAAATAATAAATAATTCCTGAAGATGGGTATTTTTTACTAAGGCCACAGCTTCCAATCATGACATGCCAAGCAGTGGTGCAGCATCGCAGGCATGAATCGTGTACGTGGTGACGGGGTCTGATGTGCCCCACCGACCTAGGGTCTAGGCTTCGCTGCACAGCAAACGCGTCGAAAGACAACGGGGAGCTAATAATTATCGGGAGAAGGGGGTAGAAGAAGGAGAGAGAGAGAGAGAGAGAGAGAGAGAGAGAGAGAGAGAGAGAGAGAGAACGAGAGAGAGCGAGAGCGAGAGAGAGAGAGTGAGAGAGAGAGAGACAGAGAGAGAGAGAGAGAGAGAGAGAGAGAGAGAGAGAGAGAGAGAGAGAGAGAGAGAGAGAGAGAGAGAGAGAGAGAGAGAGAGAGAGAGAGAGAGAGAGAGAGAGAGAGAGAGAGAGAGAGAGAGAGAGAGAGAGAGAGAGAGAGAGAGAGAGAGAGAGAGAGAGAGAGAGAGAGAGAGAGAGAGAGAGAGAGAGTATCCTAGCGTGCTGCCGAAATCTAGTCTTACCTTGATCAGAGGAAGAAAAGTTAGAACTGATGATATCGGCCAACAACAAGCTACATGTACATGCTTGCTGTTGTTTGACAGCATTAAACAAGGTGGGGGACACCGTGGTCGGAAGCAGTGACCTTTCTACAACCATCCACGATCGGTAGAGCCCGGTGGATGATTGTAGAAAGGTCACTCTTTCCGAACACAGTGTCCTCCACCTTGTTTCATGTTGTCAACCAACAACATGTGGTAACTAAAAAAGGGCTTATCTAATACCAAGCTAGATGCTCTATATAAATAAACAAAACTACTCCCGCCGTCAGATTTGCATCACTGTCACTGAGCTGATCTCTTGTAATTTTAAGATCTCGGACGTGTACTGTAGTACTAGTGACGTACACGTAATCGTTTGTACCCCTTTAACGTGCGTGAGAGCACTGAGACGTGTGGGTCCTATGCAAATTGTTTGATGATTCTCAGTATACATGTAGAAGCGCAGTGCAAACACCGATGGTCACCTCATATAATATTAATATACTGGAACGGAGAGCCAACGATTAATGTATTGTAAAGAAAAGAAACAAGGAACTACACGCTACGCTATACATAATGTTAACTAACACCTCCAGTTACTTGGAATTTAGCTCATGGGATAACATTGCACAAAGGCGACCAAGAGTATTGACGTTCTAAGACTAGCTTCCCGATAGTATATTGGGTACTGCTCTTGCCTGAAAATCAAGAGGTCGCAGGTTTGAGCCCGGCAGTCGCACATCTGACTGCAACATTCCCACGACGCAGCTCACCAGATCAAGGTGTAATGTGTGGGAGACACCAAAAAGTACAGCAGCAGTGGTGTCTTCAACTTCATTCTCCCGAGCCAAGCTCCGCATGAAAACATCCAAGAAGAAGATTGCATGATGATTCCAGCGGGGACGAAACGTACGTCGCAATCGAGCGATCTCGTTGCTGTGTCATCTTCTGTGTGCTATGCGCTACTTGATGTACCAGCCTGATATGCCGGATACCGCCAACCATGCATCGACCAGGCGCCAGGCGCGAACTGATGGTGGTGGTGGTGAGAAGGAGAGCTCTGTGCCAGAACTTTGCAGCCTAGAGAGCGCGTGTGGGCAGGCGTGTGTTTACCGCCATATTGCCAGGTGTGTCTTTACCAGGGATGCAAACTTACAGAGACGCTCTGTAAGTTTGCATCCCTGGTGATGGCTTGCCCTGGAGAGCAGTACATAAGTGGTGCTTTTCAGGCACAATCTTCCTCAGCCTACTCAAGCTCAACTGATGAGGGGTGAATTCCCCGAAACACCGTGTATTGAGCAGGGAGTGGTGCTTTCTTGCAGGTTTGCCGAGTGGAAGGTGCAACGTGCTCCTCGTGTGCTCCGGATGGCAGTCGTGAGTCAGTCAAGTGTCAAGTTCGGCAAGAAGCGTGTGTTCCTAGTTGGAACAATCAACTTCATGACTATTTCCGCCGAAGTCGCAACTTCTAAGTTCACATTACTGGAAGCAAAGAGAAACAAATCTGAATGATTAATTAGCAGTTATTAGAACACCAGCTTCATGTTGGCCTTGAAATCATTTAGCGTACAAGACGATTTTACTGATTGAGGCAGGGCCAGCCAGAGAGAATAGGCAGCGAAAAACGGAGATCTGGTATACCGGTAAGCTGATACTCGGGCTTTAGGTAAAGTGCAGGGATTGTGCTTAGGACGAGTGGGAAGAAACCAGTTATATTTACGCAAGTGTGGCGGGGCTTTGTCAAGACGAATACAATGAACAACAATACACAGTTTTCGATCCGCCTGACTAGAGATAGGGAAGGTGTTAAACATATTATACAGCTCGGCAGAAGGAATGTATGATGGATTGCGGAAAAGGACTTTGAATATCCTCTTATTGTGGACTTCCAGGGTACTCACTAACGATTTACTTAGTAGGGATGGCCAGGCGGTTGAGCAATAGAGAAAAATGGGGAGAATAATTATAGCATTCAAGCGGTAGGTGGGAGCAGTGAGACACGAGGTAGCCAACAGCTTTACTGACTTTGCTACAGATATAGTCGACATGTCTGCTAAACGATAAATCTGAGTCAATGACCAAACCAAGATGCTTGTGTTGTTTTACCACTGTGATGTCTGTGAGGGATCCGGAAAGATTGAATGCATAGGTTGGCTCTGAGTTCGGCAGGAATAATATCTCAGTCTTGGCCATATTAGGTCTTAGTCTCCAGGTAGTCAGGACTTCGTTGATACCGCGCTGGAGACTGTCTCGCAGCCTGTCTTGACACTCCTTGAATCGGAGCAGTGCAGTATCGTCAGCAAATAAGGACCCACCTTCAACATGACTGGGAAAATCATTAATATACACTAGGAAAAGGAGGGGCACTAGGCTGGATCCCCGGGGCACTCCGGACAGAACAGGTGAAGCATCTGAGAGAAGTCCACCTTCAAAGACAACTTGCGTTCTGTCGGATAGGTAGTCTGTAATCCACTCCAGCGCTGCGCCACACACACCGAACACTTTGGAAAGTTTAGCAAGTAATGCACGGTGCCACACGGTGTCGAAAGCTTTCACGAGGTCGAAAAAGCAGATGGCAACTTTCCGCCCCATATGACGATGGTCGGCAATGTTTTGGATCAGCTTGGTGAGCTGTAGAGAGGTCGTGTCACCACGACGAAACCCAGATTCGGCTGGATCCAGAGCAGGAGAAATATGATTATATAATTGATTGAAAAGGCAACGAGGAGGCAATAACTTTATTAATGCGATTAATAGTATAAGTGAAGCGGACATTACAAAATGATGAATGAGAATACATGTATCTAAAATGGTTGTTCCTAATCGATTTTCTTGAGACTATCATCAGGGAAAAATCGTCTCACAATAGAGGCTATACGGAGAAACAAACTGCTTATAGGTTATAGGATAGTGGGAAGAATACAAGGTGAGGTGTGAAAAGAAAAAAAGAAAGTGGGAGAGAAGACGAAAGAAATTAGAAGAAAAGATGTGAGAGTGTTCCGACGGTGTGAGCTACTACAAAAGGTGAGTGAAATGAAGGCGTGGAAGCAGGTGAATGTGATAGAGTGAGGAACTGTGAGGTGTAGGTGCATGCGAATGAATACGTGTGTGAATGCTAGGTGAAGAGTCTCAGTTTAGTGACATTTTGTTTCTGAATGCATAGATTAGGATTGTGTTTACGGATGAAAACAGCTTCTAATACCTTAAGTTCACGAAACCTACGAGCACGGCACAAAACAGTGAAGCATGAATCGTCATACACTGAGCGGCATTGGCTACTAGACAAGAGGTGTTTCTTAATTGCTGACCCTTTCGTTGTGCTCTCACCTTCAGTCCGGTCATCTTCATCCTGGTTGTCCAACTCACTCTCGTCATCACTGCTCACACCTTCTTCATCCTCTTCCTCTTCCATCCCGTCCTCTGCACCCGACGACAATCCCCCTTTACTGCTCGCTGCCAGTCCATGTCCTAATCAATCCTAATCTATGCATTCAGAAACAAAATGTCACTAAACTGAGACTCTTCACCTAGCATTCACACACATATTCATTCGCATGCACCTACACCTCACAGTTCCTCACTCTATCACATTCACCTGCTTCCACGCCTTCATTTCACTCACCTTTTGTAGTAGCTCACACCGTCGGAACACTCTCACATCTTTTCTTCTAATTTCTTTCGTCTTCTCTCCCACTTTCCTTTTTACTTTTCACACCTCACCTTGTATACTTCCCACTATCCTATAACCTATAAGTAGTTTGTTTCTCCGTATAGCCTCTATTGTAAGACGATTTTTCCCTGATGATAGTCTCAAGAAAATCGATTAGGAACAACCATTTTAGATACATGTATTCTCATTCATCATGTTGTAAGGTCCGCTTCACTTATACTATTAATCGCATTAATAATTGATTGAAGAAGAGCCGTTTGATTAATTTTCTTGGAACGAGCCAGCCCTTGCGCCGACGGACGCAGTTGTGAGGGAAAAAACCGGGTGTATATCCCCAATGACGATTAGGCATCATGTAGGCATGGCAAGCACATCACGGCAAAAAGTGATAACAAAACAATGAAAATATGCACAGAAATGAAGGGTGGGTGGGCAGGAACACTGGTGAGACTCAAAACTGACTGAAGAAGTCAGGAAAAGGAACGACCATAAAGAACACACCAGGTGCCATATTTGACACGAAAATTTTTTCGCGAGAAATCACTTCTCGCCTATCTCGCTGCGCTCGGCCGGCGAGAAATACAACTTGTTTCGGGCCAGAAACTTTCCAAAAAACCCTGGTAGAGTGTGAGTCACTTGAACTCTTTGAACGGCCCAAAAGTACAAAACTCTCATAAAGTAGTGCGGATATCCTTGAACAGGTACTTCTGGCGTTCTTGTGACAGACCTGCTGGGGGCAACACTTGGGGAAGGCCTGC